CCCCAAAACCCCAAAACCCCAAAACCCCAAAGGAGTTATAATATTATCTAGATTAAGAAATTATCATCAAATTAAATAAATACCATTTAGAATAATGAGAGCTTACCGAGAGTCTAATATTTCAGAGTAACTTGACACCTCCAATCTAAAGAAACTTAATATCCTTAAGAGTTATCTTGAATTCAAGAAAGATGACTATAAATGAGCGTAAGTTTTTCAGATCTTCATAAAATTTGAATAAATTTAACTTTAAATTTAAATAGGCACATTAAAGGGAAAATAAAGTTTTTATCGAAAATATTGATAGGCAAGTACTATTAATTTGCATCACTTGCAATATCATTCATCCATGCGATACTAATCATAATTTTTTCAATAATTGGAGTGGTTGTTTTGGATTCAAATTATAAGAGCTATGTTGATTAATATAACTACGATTTTTCAATGTTTATATTACTTGGTAAGAATAAGTCAATTCTTATCTGATTTTATAGGCATTGAGGCTTCACTCTTGACGATTTGCTTTAGAAAAAATTACTTTAGAGTTAATGATAATTTGAAATTAGCCATTTTAATTGCATGCAATCTATTGGTGGACATTTTGAATATTTCATACAGTAGCAAGGTTTTAGAGTGGGTTCATGCTTCTAGCAATGATTACACCATAAAAATTAAAGACCTCCTAGAGGTTTATTCAAGTTATGGATTTTTTTTGATAGGTCTGCATAACTTTACAATACTTTACTACTGCAGTATAAAATTCAGTGATATGAAGTATCGTTACGATAAAATGCAGGAAAAGCGTAAAAAATAAAAGGAGAAAAAGGCTTAAGAATCTTCAAACTAGTATTTGATCTTTGAAAGACTAGAGCAAAAGCCAATCGAAAAGGCTTATCAGTTACTTTAACAATTTTAAATGAGAATACCGAAATCTGAAAAACAGGTGCATCATGATTTCGACTTTATTTTGAAAGCTATCAAGGAAGCTCTTGAAAACGACAAGAATTAAATGCTGTAGATTGAAAAGCAAACTAGAGGAGCAAAAAGAATAGGTGACAGAGAGGATGGGCCTATGCTTGGTCAAGGCTTAATCAGAGGTAAACTTTTTTATTTATTTATAATATCAAGATTCGAATGCGACTTAGAATCATAGAAGACCTTAATATCTTAGTGATCAGGATAACAATGATGATGAACAGCAATATTACAGTGATATTCAAAGGAGGATGCTTTCAAGCCATGCTGGCAGACATTCAACATCAAACAATAGAATGAGCGTCAGTCTGAGTAAAGAATTTACGGTAGACCCAATCAAACTTTCAAAGTATCTATCAGACTATAATAAAGGCATAGAGAACTGCTTGAATAAATTAGACTCATTTGAATTCGATATTTTTAATCTTAGGTCGATATCATCAGGTAAGGAATTGATTATTCTGGGATATGAAATAGCTCAGAGTTAAAATTTGATTGATAGTAATCACATGTCTAAGTTTGTATACCTAAGTTTTCTACAAGGCATCGCTCAAAGCTACAACAATGTTGCTTATCACTCTAAGACTCATGCTGGAGATGTGCTCTAAGGGTTGCATTACTTCTTAAAGACTGGTGAGATGGCAGAACTTCTAAAGCTGACTCCAGTTGAACACATTGGTGCAATTGTTGCTGCGATTGCACATGACTTAGATCATCCTGGGTTTAACAATTAATTTTTAGTTTCAACCAGAGATGAAATAGCCCTCTTATATAACGATCAAAGTGTGCTTGAAAATCATCATGTTGCTTAAACATTTTTGCTATTAAGGCAAGATGAATTAAATATATTCAAGAGATTTAGTTAATAAAATCAGAATAAAATCAGAGAGATTATGATCAAGATGGTCCTTGCCACTGACATGTTTTATCATGCGTCTAATATGTAATAGATGCAAAAGATCATAGAAAAGACTTCGCATGATCCCTCTGTTGAAATAAGCAATAATCAAGTGTTGATTTCAGAAGAAGAGTTGTAGTAAAATAAAATATTCTTGCTTGGCTAATCCTTACATTTTGCAGATATTAGTAATCCTTGCAGAGAATGGTCGGTAAGCTCACGTTGGACAGACTTGGTATTCAGGGAGTTTTTTTACTAAGGTGATTTAGAAAGGTCTATGAATTTACCAATCTCAAATCTAATGGATAAGAAAACCGTAAATATTGCTTAGTCACAGCTTGGCTTCATTAATTTCTTAGTGTTACCTGTTTTTTCTGAATACTCAAAAATCTGTAGAAACTGCGAGCCACTTATATTATAAGCTTAGATAAACAGAAGAAAATGGGAAGGCTTGAAAGATGTGTTTGAAATGCATAAAGAAGCCTAGCTAAGACAAATGAACAGTGGCGATATTACTGGAATGGAAGATATTTACTTTAGTTATGATAACTACTTGAAGAGAAGAATGGCAAATAATTCAAATTAACAAAATTCAACCTCTGCTGCTAGTAACCATTCACCCAATTTCATGAATCATGCAGGATCTTCTCCAAATCATTCTAAGCTTAATATTAGTAGTAGGTAATAATCCAACTAAAGACTCAGTTTTCTAACTCGAAAATCTTCAAATAGAAGCAAGAATTCGAATAACAGACAAATAATATATAATTAAAACACCCTTTAAGGAAGTGATAAAAATGCTGGAGTATTTGTGCTATAAGAAGAGAGATCAGACGAATCATCCTCATCGGATTCACTCCAGAGTCCATAAAAAGAGAACACTGGCATAGGTGCATCATATAGAGATAAAGAGGTAGAGAATCTTAAAGTACCTTTAAATGACTAAAGCCTAGAAGATGACGATGACGATGACGATGACGACGATGATGATGAAGATGAAGATGATTATGATGATGAAAAAGGAAGACAATACAAAAGTCAGGATGATTAGGATGAGGAAAACTTAGCAGATAATAGTTATAATAAATATTACGATAGAAAGTTATCCTCAAAATCAGACTAAACATCAAAAATAGTTGGTTGGAAACAGTCTAACAAGAATTCAGATTAATAGATTAATAGCCATAGATTCTAGATGAAAAGGGACACGGCAAAGGAAATATCTACAAAGAAGATAGCTGAGATTAGTATATCAATGTCTAAGGATTACATTAATGAGGAATCTTTGGATAGAATAATAGTTGACAAATAAATAAATAATCAGGACAGTTAAAACTAAAAAAAGAGCAACATCAAAGGAGAGAAGAAAAAATAAAAAATACATGGAAATAAGTTATCACTAATGGGAAGATCTTAGCATCCTGATAAACACTAAATAATTATTAAAAGAGAATCCAAACCTATTAATAAGCAGATGAGCTGAAAGTAAAATCTTATAAAATGATATTATCAATAATTATATTTAATCTTAATTTAATGATAAACTCTTATTTTTAGTAATAAATTATCTAGTTATTCTTGTAATCAGTTTGCATAGGCACTAATATTATCACTTAGAAGAACATTGGAAGTATCTGGGAATAAGCTTAATCTTTTGTGTTTGAGTGTCTTGGCAAGTTCAATAAGTACATCTAACTCTTGAATTCCATAATCTACTCCTTTAAGTTTGCTAATTATGTCATCAACATCATCACTTAGCTCTCTGACTTCGTGAATTTTCAATTTTCCTGGAATATCCTCTACTATGTTGTTTTGTTCTTAAGTAGTCAAATAATCCTATTCTTCTTGATTAGTGTTATGGTCTTGGAACGAGCTATGATTGGCAGCACCTGGGCCACCTCCTCCTCCAACGTTAGAATCATCTTAGTTTCCCTTGTAGTTGCTCTAGCCTTAAGTAGGAATGTGTATCTTTCCAGTATCTTTTTTTCTCTGTAACAAATTATTTGGTTTACCTTTATTGCCAATCATACCAGGATTTTCTTCCATAAGTCTCTCTAAATTTTAACAATGTTTTACTGATAAGTATTTTACCTTCCTCTTGCTTCATTATTGCATCTTCTTATCTTTAAGCGAACTTGCTCTTGTTTGAAACTTAATTCATAGCTCCTTTCTTGATAACATTCAAATCTACAAGATGTGAAGAATCCATCACTGGATCATTCTTTTATGGTGCAAGTTGATTGGATTCAATACTAAATACCATCTGTTTGTTTTGTAAAAAGTGACCTATAGTCCCTGACTTCTAATTGATCTACATTTATAGTTGTCTACTAGGCTAGATCGTTGAGTCTTGCTGAGTAGTATGAATTATTGAAGAATTTCCATCCTTGACTGCTCCAGGTATATTAATATCATGATCATCATGTTTCTTGTCTAAATTGGAACATATTAAGATTAATTTATGAAATTAAAATTACTATGAAAATCTTTCTTGACCATGATTTTAGTTCTAGCTGAGATCTTCTGTATTTCAGCTGCATTAAGGCCTTAATGAGCTAAGCCTGATTCATTTGTATCTCCTAGCTTTTTTGTGCAAGCATACCACTTAATCAAGTTGGCAGCCCATACTAACAATAATGCTGCTCCTTCAGAATGCAAATGAACATTCTAAGGTGTCAATGTTGAATTGGTCTTTTAATTTAATATCTGCTATGCTTTTAATACATCTTATGGTCTTAACGTTCTAGGCTTAGTTTGCATCAACTCCATTTTAAATGAAGGCTTGCCTAGTAACTCTTTGGCAGTAGACCATTAATACTATTTAAATCCTCTTATTGCTTATACTATTTGAAGTGTCTTTTCAACTATAAACACCTATAAATTTCATAAAATACTTACCCAGTGGATGAGGCTTACTTGCCTGCTTAAGTTCCATTAGATTTGCTTTAGTCAATTATTTTAAACTTTCCTCTACCTCTTTTTGTGAGTCTTCCATTTCATCAAGAGTAAGTTACCCATCAAAAGCTTTTATGATTTATTACTCTATTTCATCAGGTTGCATTTTTGGTGGACTCTATGAAGCTAAATTATTTCCAACCAGAAGATAGGGATTCTAAGTCCTATTTGGGCTTAAAGCACCATCTTCTTCATGACTTTGTTCAGGATTAGTATTATTAGCATTGATTATTAAGTTGTTTTCATTTAAGTTGTTAGCTCTAGGACTAACCATATTTTTATTAACAACAGGACCAGCTTTATTAGAATTGGCCCCTTTTAGTCCAGCTTAGTTTTTAACTGATTCAGGAGCTCCCATACTATAAAGTTTTGTACCTAGAGGAAGCTTTTTAGCACCATGATTTTTCATGTACTCCATTTCTTCTAGCTTCTTTTATTCCATTTCTTATTAAAGAATTTGGTCGTGAATTGTATTAAGGAGTTCTCTTCCTCTTTCAACAACTATTCTATAAAGTTCACCTCCTCTTAGAAGTTGCTGCCCAATTTAAGCTCCTGTATTCCATATACAAACGAAAACCAAAATGTTTTCTATTTCCATCTTCTATAGTAATCCAAGCAGTTTATCACCAGCTCCTGGCTCTCCATCATCGTCATAACCTTCCTCTAGCTTTGGCTGTTATGAAACTGGATCTATCTGATTTACTCTATAAGCGAGCACTTTATTTTTAGAAGAGGGAAATTTCGAATGCATTGTATTACTTGAACTTGATAAATAGGTTTTGACAAATCTGACTTATTCTTAATGACTAATAGCTGCAGATATAGCTTAAAAACTCATCTTTTTGTGGTTGAACATTTTGCCAAATGAGATAGATTCTATTACAGCGTTTAACTCCTGCTAGTGATGGCCTTCATTTTCTGGATCATTTTCAAAGCCAGGTTTGATTCCTCCTCCTTTAGTTTTCCCTTAAATAGTTTGCTTGATGAGAGTATCCAGTTCATCGTTAGTATTGTTATCATGCATCTGATTTAAATTTTGATTACTCATTGTGTAATCATGACTTGACTCCATCATCAATTGAATTAATAATTAATTAGCTATTTAATGAAAAGTCTATAGCTTTTACAATTCGTTTAAATTGATTATAATTAAAATAATTTATCCATGGGGTTTTGGGGTTTTGGGGTTTTGGGG